GTACTTATAGTAGGAATGGTGAGGATACATAATACATACAATACAAACTGTTTACTCATATACACCTTTAACAACCAAACGATAAATCTTTAAAAGTATTTGAGAACACCCTTAGGTGATAAACAAACCACATTCAAAATTACAAGTCATAGGACAACTTGAGAAAGATAGCAGATCAGATACAAAATATTCATAAAACCACAAATTTTCTTAATCTCTCTGAACTGACAGACATTGTTGAACGCTTCTAGCAATGTAACAAACAGACTTACCGTGGATATAAGTGCACGAAATAGAACAATAGCACAGGGACCATGTGCAATTTGTAGCGTGAAGTAATTAATTAATTCACCAACCCTTGGTATATGCACACAACCACAACTCACGCTACATAACCCAAATGACATTGCCCTCTGTAGAATGGGTGCCATCCAGAAGTGAAGAGAATGCACACCACACACACACACACACACATCATTATTTGCATATACCATAACATTATGATGCACATCCACACTGCTGATATACATACAGGATATTAGTTATCAGTACAAATGAATGATTGGTGTATAAGATCATGCCACCTTGTATGAAAAAAAGGGCATAACAAATAGAAAAGAAATATTTGAAAAGATTGAAATAGTAGGAATGCGTATGATGTAATAAAACTTTCCCTGTACAGTTTTACAAGGAAGATTGTACAACATCCAGTTCATGGCTAGTTCGTTTTTTGGTGTTCATAATACTATACAAGTTATGGGTACATACAAAAGTGTGTCTTTGATTCTTCTACTTTTATATAGACAGTAACGAATCCATGATGTCGATACACACAGATACCTCTTAGGATTTTCTATATATGTATTTTAATCCACCTATATAGCTAATGTACTGAATCCTGTTGCCTTGTTATTTCATTACAAAAGGAGGGACAAGTTGTAAAGAAAAGAAAAAAATACAAGTTATTCTGGTATCCTACAAACAGATTCTACAGTACGCGTATTGGCTCCTGTAATTCGATTCACAGGAACCTGTAGTTATTGTATAAGTATAACTAAGTTCGATAAGTTTAAGTCACCTGGCTTATTGTATACAGGATGAAAAACAACAATAAAAACATGCCCATTCCTACCTTGTTTCCTCACATTTTGGTGCACCCATTTTTACACTTTCAATTTTGTTAAATTTTTTTTTCATTTGTTAATATTAAAATTAACAGGTTCGCTGGACAAATGTTGACCTTTTCACGTAATTAAATAAATTCTCAAGAAATAGTTATGCAAACTTGTAAATACTTGCTGTAAACTATTTATGTATGCGTCTTTCTGTTTAACTATCTTATAAATTTGCCTAATGAAACAAGTGAAAAGTTTTTACTTAATGTTTTATCGAAGCAACCAAATATAAATAATTTCATAAGACACAGTATATAAACGTCTTGTATTTATTTGAAGTATTATGTACAGTCTCTCCTAGTACAGTATATAAACGTCTTGTATTAATTTGAATTATTATGTACAGTCACTCCTAGTACAGTATATAAACGTCTTGTATTTATTTGAAGTATTATGTAGTCTCTCCTAGTACAGTATATAAACGTCTTGTATTTATTTGAAGTATTACGTAGTCTCTCCTAGTACAGTATATAAACGTCTTGTATTTATTTGAAGTATTATGTACAGTCTCTCCTAGTACAGTATATAAACGTCTTGTATTTATTTGAAGTATTACGTAGTCTCTCCTAGTACAGTATATAAACGTCTTGTATTTATTTGAAGTATTATGTACAGTCTCTCCTAGTACAGTATATAAACGTGTTGTATTTATTTGAAGTATTATGTACAGTCTCTTCTAGTACAGTATATAAAC